TTAAAGAGCCACAAGAGAACAGAATTTTGTTATATTTTCGTTAATTTCCCAAGACCTATAATAAAATCCTTGTTTTGTTTGAACCTTGTCTCCTTGCACTACTTGAGCAATCCCGCTGAAAGCTGTGTAGCCTCTCGTGACGTCACAAATGTTATAAATTGATTTGCATTTTAATGAGGGAAATAAGTATTTGACCCCTCTGCAAAACATGACTTAGTACTTGGTGGCAAAACCCTTGTTGGCAATCACAGAGGTCAGACGTTTCTTGTAGTTGGCCACCAGGTTTGCACACATCTCAGGAGGGATTTTGTTCCACTCCTCTTTGCAGATCTTCTCCAAGTCATTAAGGTTTTGAGGCTGATGTTTGGCAACTCGAACCTTCAGCACCCTCCACAGATTTTCTATGGGATTAAGGTCTGGAGACTGGCTAGGCCACTCCAGGACATTAATGTGCTTCTTCTTGAGCCGCTCCTTTGTTGCCTTGGCCGTGTGTTTTGGGTCATTGTCATGCTGGAATACCCATCCACGACCCATTTTCAATGCCCTGGCTGAGGGAAGGAGGTTCTCACCCAAGATTTGACGGTACATGGCCCCGTCCATCGTCCCTTTGATGTGGTAAAGTTGTCCTGTCAGCAGACAACTTCATTGGTTTTGTTCCACTCCCCCTTAGCAGAAAAACACCCCCAAAGCATAATGTTTCCACCTCCATGTTTGACGGTGAGGATGGTGTTCTTGGGGTCATAGGCAGCATTCCTCCTCCTCCAAACACGGCGAGTTGAGTTGATGCCAAAGAGCTCAATTTTGGTCTCATCTGACCACAACACTTTCACCCAGTTCTTCTCTGAATCATTCAGATGTTCATTGGCAAACTTCAGACGGGCATGTACATGTGCTTTCTTGAGCAGGGGGAACCTGCGGGCGCTGCAGGATTTCTGTCCTTCACAGCGTAGTGTGTTACCAATTCTTTTCTTGGGGACTATGGTCCCAGCTGCCTTGAGATCATTAACAAGATCCTCCCGTGTAGTTCTGGGCTGATTCCTCACCGTTCTCATGATCATTGCAACTCCACGAGGTGAGATCTTGCATGGAGCCCCAGGCCGAGGGAGTTTGACAGTTATTTTGTGTTTCTTCCATTTGCGAATAATCGTACCAACTGTTGTCACCTTCTCACAAAGCTGCTTGGCGATGGTCTTGTAGCCCATTCCAGCCTTGTGTAGGTCTACAATTTTGGCCCTGACATCCTTGGAAAGCTCTTTGGTCTTGGCGATGGTGGAGAGTTTGGAATCTGATTGATTGATTGCTTCTGTGGACAGGTGTCTTTTATACAGGTAACAAACTGAGATTAGGAGCACTCCCTTTAAGAGTGTGCTCCTAATCTCAGCTCGTTACCTGTATAAAAGACACCTGGGAGCCAAAAATCTTTCTGATTGAGAGGGGGTCAAATACTTATTTCCCTCATTAAAATGCAAATCGATTTATAACATTTTTGACATGCGTTTTTCTGGATTTTGTTGTTGTTATTCTGTCTCTCACTGTTCAAATAAACGTACCATTAAAACTATAGACTGATCATTTCTTTGTCAGTGGGCAAACGTACAAAATCAGCAGGGGATCAAATACTTTTTTCCCCTCACTGTATATATAATCTGAGATCATGTGACAGATCATGTGACACTTAGATTGCACACAGGTGGACTTTATTTAACTAATTATGTGACTTCTGAAGGTAATTGGTTGCACTAGATCTTATTTTGGGGCTTCATAGCAAAGGGGGTGAATACATATGCACGCACCACTTTTATGTTATTTATTTTGTAGAAACAAGTTATTTTTCTTCACTTCACCAATTTGGACTATTTTGTGTATGTCCATTACATGAAATCCAAATAAAAATCCATTTAAATTACAGGTTGTAATGCAACAAAATAGGAAAAACACCAAGGGGGATGAATACTTTTGCAAGGCACTGTACATGTGGGCAGAGTTAAAGTGACTATGCATAAATAATAAACAGAGTAGCAGCAGCGTAAAAGAGGGGGGTGGGGGTGGGGGGGCAGTGCAAATAATCCGGGTAGCAATGATTAGCTGTTCAGGAGTCTTATGGCTTGGGGGTAGAAGCAATTAAGAAGCCTTTTGGACCTATACTTGGCGATCCGGTACCGCTTGCCGTGCGGTAGCAGAGAGAACAGTCTATGACTAGGGTGGCTGGAGTCTTTGACAATTTTTAGGGCCTTCCTCTGACACCGCCTGGTATAGAGGTCCTGGATGGCAGGAGGCTTGGCCCCAGTTATGTACTGGGCCGTATCACTACCCTCTGTAGTGCCTTGCGGTCGGAGTCCGAGCAGTTGCCATACCAGGTGGTGATGCAACCAGTCAGGATGCTCTCGATGGTGCAGCTGTAGAACCTTTTGAGGATCTGAGGACCCATGCCAAATCTTTTCAGTCTCCTGAGGGGGAATAGGCTTTGTCCTGCCCTCTTCACAGCTGTCTTGGTGTGTTTGGACCATGATAGTTTGTTGGTGATGTGGAACTTGAAGCTCTCAACCTGTTCCACAACAGCCCCGTCGATGAGAATTGAGGCGTCCTCAGTCCTTTTTTTTTCCTGTAGTCCACAATTATCTCCTTTGTCTTGATCACGTTGTTTGGGGGTCAGTGACTTGAGGGGGAGACAGAACCAGTGAAGGCCTCAACAGGCAGGTTGCAGGTAGAAGGGTCCAGGTGGGGTCGGGCCAGGCACGTCAAGGTGTCAGTCCAGGGTGTCCTCGGCCACAGTCCTAGAGGTTCAGGCAGGCAGACACAGAGAAAGAGAAAAGAGGGGGTTTAGTGAGAGCATGCCTAAGTCCACAGTAGGCCTACATCACAAGCACTGGTCAAGAATAATACATAGTGTTGCTGTGGACACTAGATAATCTGTCAATCCAATGGTGCATGCACACGCGCACACACACACCTGGGTGTTTACCTGGCTGTGATGCTGTATTTTTGTGACTTCAGGTAGCATTTCATGTTCTGTGTTTGCAGTAACCATGGCAGCCACCATTACAAACAAAGAGATGTGATAAAAGATAATCAGCCTCTGATCCTTTCCACTTAATGTAATTTTCATGTCTGTCAGGCCAATGCTTTCAAGCACTAGTCGAGTAAAATCAATAGTGTTGATCTGGTCACAAGGTAATACAAAGAATCAAGGTAAATAGCACCACACTAACACAGAAAAAACTGATCCTCAGCCAGGACAATCTTTTCAAAGAAGCAACATTTATTTCAAGTACTGGTCACTAGATAAACCAAAGAAACCAGGTAAACAGTCAGAAAGGTAATTGATCAAATTAACTGCAATAAACGTGTCTCAAATATATTAGCATAACTACGCAGAACAACTGCGGACCATTGGAAAATGAGAGGCCTATCTCCATATTAAAAGATTAACAACATGTATCAGCTCTACGCACAGGGATGTGACTTATGGAGCGCACTTTGCAATCTGCACTGGTAACGTCTTGTTCTAGGTTTTGCAAGTAATATCACCACACCAGGTCCTATTTATGATGCGTCTTCCCTCAACAACAACAAAAAATACGGCACGACTTCGGAATTCTGATCGGACTTTTTGAGGTAACTTTGCATTGGGACTTTTTGAGGTAACTTTGCATTGGGACTTTTTAAACCTGTACTAATGGAAATCCATATGTTACATGTGGTTACATTTATACTACCTTCACTTTAAGAATGTCAATAGGTAGCCTTGGGATGCTTCCAGTTTAACATTTTGGGTTAATATTTGAAGACATTTACAATCTACACTTGATAAGCTACCAGAAAATAAAAGTTGTAGTAAAATTGTTACATAAAAATAACAATTAAAGCAATTAAATAAAGATACAATTACCAGGAGTAGACAACCATGGCTGCCATATAGCACCATGGCAACCACGGAATGGGAATTGTGGCATTATTGCTGGTTGAGTCAAACTGAAGTGCATCACTGAAGTGCATCATTTAGAAAATAACTGATTCAGTTTGACCCAACCAAACATAAATCACAATGCATTTTCATTTTTCTTCACCATCACTGTGAAGATTCAAGGGTCAGGTGAGTTTGTTTTATTGATTTAATCAATCAATCAATAAAATCTTACTAACTAAAATGGGTTGAAACTTGATGTATTTGTGTGTATGTTGGGTATGCAATGTTGGGGAAACTACTCTGAAAATGTAACTAGCTAGTTAGCTAACATTAGCTAAGTTATTCCTTTATAAGTTAAACTACAGCAAAACTATGCTTGAGTGGAAAGTAACTAGTTAAATATACTACAAACTACAGTAAACGCTTGGTATTTGAAGCTTCACAACAAATACACAACAAAGACCATAACAGTGAACTTTGCAACACATCTCATGATATAATTTATTTTTATTGTAGGAAGTGAAATACTCAGACAGAACTTGTTTATACTGTATCTTAAACACTAAAATACCATTGGATGATTCATGATGTCCTTAAATCCCTTCTCTAGATTGGTGCTACCAGTCCCAGGTTTCATATGGTGGCCACTGCACAAACCATATACATACATATTCTAAAATACCCATTGGAATCAATGTTCTTTAAACATAACCAATGTTATGTCTTGTTATTCTCTGTGAAGGACCGGATGATTGGGCCACGGGTACTGAGGCATGTGGTGGAAGAGCCCAGTCCCATTAACATTGTGATGAGAAGAACTCTACCAGACGGACACCTTACAACACTGCATTACTTTTACAGTACAATGTCCTCCTGCTAATGATACAGTATATCAGCATGCTGTATTGTAGTTGTATTGAACATGAATAGCAAGGACTATTCACCCTTCTAATGCCTTGATATTTCACAGATCTGATCTAAGATCAAAGCTCCACAACATACACTGAACATTACAATAGTACAGTACATGCTAGGTCCATGGACTCCACATATCTCCTCTTACACGGACTAAAGCGTTCATCTCGCTGCAGTTCAAGTGGACCTGCCTGCCACAGTGAAGGTTCGGGGTGGAGATCTGACCGTGCCATACCAGGAAATACAGCTCCACCTGCATTCGGGCAAGGATGGAGCCCCAGGATCAGAACACACCATCGATGGAGAAAGATATCCCAAGGAGGTATGATGATCAAAAGAAAGGAAACAGTTCCATAATAATTGATTTATGATTATCACATAGTTTTAGATATTTTAAGTACAGTATGTGTACAATTTCTATACATCAATCACATTTACATACACTTTTTCATGTTCACATGTATTGCAATCTTTAATTAATTGTTTAATTATATCTCTTGACGTCCTCAGCTTCATATAGTAAATATAAAAGAGGAATACAACTCTTTGGCTGATGCTCTGAAAGACCCTGCAGGGGTTGGAGTTCTTGGATTCTTTTATGAGGTATTTTTCTGCTTAATCTTATCCAACTTTCTACAACATGATAAATAGATTAGCCTCGATTTGGGTTGTTATGAAATTTGATAAATTATAGTCTCTGAAAATACTGATATCTCTTACATTTTCAGGAATTGGGAAGCTCCAACAAAAAATATGGCTCCATCATGAATGAACAATATCAATATAAACAACAACTATTGTTTTGTATCTTTTATAGCATGGATCCAGGTCCTAAATGATCCATGTTCCGGATCGTACAGGGATAGGCCTATGTGAAAGTGCTGGTAGTTTATAGTCACGTTGGTATAAGTGCCAAGAGACTAAAGTACAACTGGCACGTGATGAATACAAAGTAATAAAACCCTTATTTTTTAACCACAGTGTCTTCGATAAAGCTATTAGCAATCACTAGTAGAATGAACAGTAGCTTATTTTGTAGACAAATTACAGCTCTCATCATAAACTGTATTTGGCAACATTTTACCTTATGTTATTACTGTGTAGTTCCATAGAGGCAACTTAAGATAGTTTTACCCTGTATTTTTTCCATTGTCTTTATTGTGTCCACCTCTAGGCTCCAACACTACACTGAGTGGTGTGTCCCTGGACATGTTCATCCCCTCTCAGTGTAATATGACCAGCTATTTCCGCTACCAGGGCTCTCACCACACCTCCCTGTACAGAAGCTGTAGTTTGGACCGTGTTCAAAAACACCATTCCTCTCAGCAAGCAACAGGTACTTCAAAGGGGCAATCAGCAGATGATACATCCATTTTTGGATTGATAAATAATTTATATTTACCCATTGATTCTTGAAGAATATACTGTAACTTATAAATGCCTCATGAGTTTAGTTCAACTGTCATACTCAAAATATAAGTGTGTTTTTTGTGAACAAAGTAAATGTAAGCAAACAATATATTGCCTCAAAACATGGATGGTCAGTCCTTGCATCCATAGCTCTGTCTGTGAATTTGAGGGTGCTTACATTTGTCCAGCCCCATCCCTCAGCTTTTTACTGCAACAGGGGCGGGGAGTGGGTTTGTTATTTCTACTGCAGATTTCCATTTTAAAGAATTACCTTTGGCATTACCTCACCTCACCTATGTCACTAGTATACCTGACATTATACTTGTACAATCATACCTGCTGTGTCACTGAGAATGTAAATGTATTGTAAACAAGTTAAGTTGTTCTCTATATTACTTTATTGAGTTGTATTTTGTACTGTATGTTAGTTTCATCTTTGTGTCCTACAGCTTGCTGCATTTTCTCAGCTTCAGTTTGCTGGTGAAGAGCCTATGGTGGGAACCTATCACCCAGTCCAGCTGTTGACTGGTCGCCTGGTGTATCGCTCTGGAAGTCAAGTTGTCTTAGTCAGCACTCTGCTACTCATCACTTCTGTGATATACCTCCTGAGTGGCGCAGTGGTCTAAGGCACTGCATCGCAGTGCTAGCTGTGGCACTAGAGAACCTGGTTCGAATCCAGGCTCTGTCGTAGCCAGCCGCGACCGGGAGACCCATGGGGCGGAGCACAATTGGCCCAGCATTGTCCAGGGTAGGGGAGGGAATGGCCTGCAGGGATGTAGCTCAGTTGGTAGAGCATGGAGTTTGCAACGCCAGGGTTGTGGGTTCGATTCCCATGGGGGGACAGTATGAAAAAATAAAATAATGTATGCACTCACTAACTGTAAGTCACTCTGGAGTGTCTGCTAAATGACTAAAATGTAAATGTCAAATATCAGTCATTGGACTTTCACTGCCCAACTAAATACCAGCATCTTTGGATTTGGGTGTCAGTGAATTAGAGAGTGCCCAATATTGTAAAAATCTCAAATGCTTATATTTCGCTCTGCTATGACGATAATGCAGTTATTCTCTTTCAAGTTCACTTTACTTGCCAAATTAGAGTTGTTACAGTTTATTCAAGGGGGTAATGTGTTTAAGGAGACAGCATGAATAATGCACAGAGATTTGATTTTATCTTATTTTTGTTATGTATTAAAATAATACTTGAGGCATTACGCCAAGCATTGTTATTACCCTCTTATTAGTCCTCTAATAATTTTTTTACAATATTTTAATTCACGTTCAAACTTCTTATTGTTATTGAACAGTCTGTGTCATTATTTGACCTGTGCTTTTCCACAGAACCAACAACACAACTGGTGAGAATCAGTATCAAAGCACTGGAATTCTGATCTATATTGTCCGGTAACAAAGCACATCCATGTCATTTTTATATTAGGTGTACCCAATCAGTTAAAGCTATAAACACATTGTTTCTTCTTCACTTTATTTACACTAAGAAGCACAGGGCAGCACAAAGAATATTTGTGATTTAATCTTCTATGTCATTTCTTCTACAATCCACCAAGTGGCAGTAATGGGGAACAGCACACACTCCATTCCTCTCTTCATCCTGTTTGACCAACTTCACACTGCACAAAGCAATGCACTGCAAGTTGTACAACCCCTCATAAAGTAAGTACTTACTTATCTCCAACCAAATGTCCCCCCCTCAGATTCAGCGGTTACATAAGGGAAAATGTGGTCATATAATCATGTATTTTGACTGAAAATATAATTTCCACTCTGTAGACTTTATATTTCCCATATCCAGGTCAGGTTAGTCAGGACACCACACACCTAACAATTTCACACTGGTATAATTCAATCAATCCCTAGTCAACAACCTGTGGATAATAGCCACTGATTTCATTTAGGGCACTTCTTGTTTAGGTACAGGTAGGCTACACTATCCATTTCCCCTTAAGTAGTCCCATGTTACACAGAAATAACACTACAGTGCGTTGAGCCAAGGGAATAATCTCCTAGCTGCACAGTCATGTTTGGCAAATTGCTATAGGACTCCTTCAAGGAGGCTAAAGCCACACGTAACGCCCTGGACCAGAGCTACTCAAGGACCATAACTTTACCATGTGTCTGTAATATCTATGTTATTACATGGTAGTTAAATAGGCAGGTACAGTGTAATTACAGTGTAGGGAGGTTGAAATACTAGTAGTGATGCCCATTGAAATCATTCAATGTGAGAGAACTGGTAGGTCTTCAAGTGTTTTCAACTGAACAAAGAAAAGTGTAGGTTTGGAACGTATCGCGGTGTGTTGTCAACGTTTCACAAACATCTCTTGCACAGTTGCACACACAGTTTCCACCCATCCTCACTTCCTCCTCTCTCGCTTGACTTGACTCTGAGGTTTAGGTTGTCTTGACAACAGAGGACATATCTCACTTAAAAATCATCTCACAAGTTTCAGTTGTGCCTATTACATATAGCACATGTTCTGCTACCGTAAACTGGGTAGAGGTGTGTCTTTAGTGTTCCTGTCTGTTAGCAAAGTGTATTAGAAGACAAGAGAACAAGCGGTAGTGTAACCTATACTATCAAATATTTTAAAGCAATGAAAAGCTGATATCTGCACCAAACAGGTTATGAATCAATTAATTATAGCATGTCTGAGATACACCCTCATATATACCCATGCTTCACTCCTTTAATAGTGGATCTATTCTATTATAAGCCTAAAACAATGTTTACTGTGAATCCCATAACAGGTTCAACACATCCTAAGCTGTTGATCTCTTCTCTAGGCTATAGTCAACATGGACAGTGCGTCAGTACGTCAAATCAATTTGAAAAGGGATCAATAAAATATATATCAATTTCACAATATCTAAGTAGCTCATTTTTAATAGGTGATGTTATCTTCTGTTTGCATGTCCTTAAAAGGGGGGACCACAGTCTCTGGCTGTGTCCCAAATGGTACCCTATTCCCTATATAGTGCACTACTTTTGGACAGAGCACGATCGGCTCTGTTCAAAAGTAGTGCACTGTAAAGGGAAAAGGGTGCCATTCGGGACACATACTCTGTCAGCAGTGAAGCTGTCTGTCTATTTGTGCCGTATGGGCGTGGGTTGGGTGGTGTATCTCAGAGACAGAAGGAGAGATCGCTGTAGAGAGACTGTTAGACCTCTTCCTGTGGTTTACACCACGTGACTACGAGGCTTCATAAGAACACCACTGTTAGTTCACACTTCTGTTTCTGCTGGGATAGAGGAGAGAAAGCTGGTAAGACCCTGTGATATACTGATTGATGTAGCTCAATAGATTCATTGAATATCATTTTGTATAAAACATAGGAGAGGTTTACTGTCTGGTGACAGTAAAGACAATGTATTACAAAACTATTGTAACATTTTACTGGTTCTACTGGTTGAGATGATTTTAGTACACTTTTATAAATTATTAGATCATTTTGTTACACATCCGCAATGTATTACAAAAACATTATGTTTTTGTGATGATTTAGTTAGTTTCTGTCTTGAATTTGCTGTGATAATTGGACTGAGGAGGAGTTCTGAGCAGCACCAAACATGAAGCTCCCACAGCAACGAGAAGATACTGATGTACAGTGCAGTCATCCATAAAGTAGAGAGTACTACTAAACTCCTCTGCACAGTGTAGTGTTTCCTACTTTATGGATGAGTGTACTGTTGGCTACGGAGGAAAACACTACAGGGACTCCATTGACATCAATGATAGATTCTGAAAAGCTTGGAGACCAAAGTCTATTTTTAAGTTGTATTTAATTTTGTACTAGAAATGCAGTCCTCTGAATATATTTTCCCGTTAAGTATTTGATCATGTTTCTCAAATAAAAGTGGATGTGATTGCAATATTGTACTAATGAAAATAAATAAATAGTGTTTCTTCATGGTTTGCTTTCCATGGTTTATGGTCATTCTAAAATTGTAGATATTTGTATAACAATCTCAGTGCAGTTTATAGTAAAATAAGTTGTACAGTTACAGTTGTTTCAGTGATCAGCATCTGGTTTTGATGAAGATCCTGCCCTGTATAATTCTAAACCCGCTAACGAGGTACAGAGGAACAAGGGAATGAAACAGATTTCAGAAAATGAACAGTTTAATAGTACTGCTAAATTCTGCATACTGTAGATATCTTAATTCAATGTGATCAATGTTCCATCATAATCTCAGTTGGTCATTACCAAAAATGTACAAAAGCCAATTGTATATAAACATGCAAATAGTACTAAGGAAGAAAATGATTTCTCTGACAGGAAAGATTGCTCACAGCCTTTCTAAACCGAAAGATCTGGTAAGGCAAATATAGGCATAACTACAACATACATCCCGGTCAGCAAAGTGAGAATAAAAATAATATTTTTAAGGCCGCAATACCCTAGCTGCTGACAAAGGTACTCCTGGAAATCATTATGTAATACGATAACCATGATTTCATTATTTTGGCCAATCTTACTGCACCTTAAAATATCCAACAAAAGGTTTGTAGTTCATAGGATTTCTTTGGACAGAGCGAAATCTGTCTACTGCGTTACTCTACTGCGTTACACGGCTCAAAAAAAAACCTATCCCATGATCATTACAAATTATGGAGGACATTTCTGTGGTCATAAGTATTTATGCAGAAGAAAGAATATGACAAAATCTTGATATTTGACACAGTATCCGATGCTCCTTGTTAATCCTATTCCCATGGTAGTGGTTCCAGGTAGTTGGATGGCACCAGGCCTCTCAGCCCATGAAGGTCCCCCTGGATGGAGATTAGACATTGGCAAAGCAGTCGTCATTTAGATATACAACCAATGGAAAACAAGGTAACATTTCTCCAAAGACTACTTAACCAGCACTCACATAATAGAATCCATCTTCATCCATATCACCAAACACATATATTATGTCCCCTGCACGGAAGGCGAGCTCAGCCTACAAGAAAATGTTTTGGGGGAAAAGTTACTGTTCATTTGGTGTAGCTGTAATATGCACAGTGAGGCCCTATAACTGTGATTACCTCAGAAATGGAGTTCACTAAATTCAAAAGACCAAAATAAGAAAGTTAAAGTGGATTTGGACATCCATGTGGAGTTTCCACACTCACGTTGCTGTCCATGTTGGGGGAACTTTCCCAAGGGTCATACTCAAAGATGGCCACCATCCTGCGGACGACCAAGTCATCTAGCACGCTAGACTCCTCACTGGGATCTGATGGGAAACACAGAGTTCAAGAGTTGAAGGATTAGATCATAGTCTAGGACTGCATCCCAAACGGCACCCTATTCCCTATATAATGTGCTACTTATCCCCAGGGCCCTAGTGTATATAGGGAATAGGGTGCGTTTGGGAGGCACACCAGATCTCATTTGTCATCATTAAGAAATCTCTGATTCTTTTTAATATACATTATTTCAGAGAGAGCAAAAGAGAGTGTGAGAGAGAGTGAGAGAAAGAGATACCTGTACAGGTGTGGTCGACAGGCAGGAAACCCTGCTGCATTAGCTGATGCTTGAGGTAGTCATCATCCACTGGGATCTCAGATACCATGTTACTAGGCACGACACCAGACAGACCACCAGACTCCCCATGGTAGAAACCATCATCGTCTTTATCTCCAAACACCTGGCAGAGACAGAGACAGGAGTCAGCCATTTTGCTATCATGAGATTTGTTTGGTAATGATACAGCTCTACTGTGCATGTGTAAAAGAAAGGAACATGAGTGGAAAGTTATCAGGTCAACATCAACCAGTTGCAAATGATGACAGGAAATGAGGAAACCACAGCTTTTGCACATCAAGTAGGCCTACGCATTAACAGAGAACAAACAGGAAACACCAGCATCTAGGACTGATAAAAAATAAAATCCAATATACTGTATAACTGATTATAATCTGCCTACCTCATATTAACTTGGTTTGATCATATATACCCCCTTTAAAATGGGAGGTAACTCTTTACATAAGGTATACAAAAAAGTAGTATTTAAAAAGGAGTTTATACGTTGTTTACAAACTGTCAATCATTAGTTTATAGACAGTTTAAACACCTGGTATAAACAGTTATAACACAACATTTACATTTTAGTCATTTAGCAGACGCTCTTATCCAGAGCGACTTACAGTTAGTGAGTGCATATATTTTCATACTGGCCCCCCTGGCCCCCCGTGGGAAACGAACCCACAACCTTGGCGTTGCAAGCACCATGCTCTACCAACTGAGCACAACGGTTGATATGCTATAGTAGAGATAAACTACTCAGTACATTACCTTGATGATCTGTCCTGGCACAAAAGGGAGCTCCTCGGCGGCGGTCTCAGGGTTTGGGGACATCGCAGCAGGGTTGTATGGGAAAAGAGCCACAAAGAGCCGGACGGGGGGTTCCTGAGACACCTGACTTGACACCTGGCTGGCGGTGTCCAGCTCCCATTGCCTAATATCCTCTGGTGTAGCAATTCTCAGTCCATCAGGGTACAGAAACACATCCACTCCTAGCATCCCCTCCATTAGCCCTTATGTGAGTGAGAGCAACCCTGATGAAGGTTAAGGACCAGAATGTTTTGGTTTTAACAATAAAGAAGCATTTTAATCAACTTCCACTGTCCTCCAAGAGTTGCTGAATTCCCGCTTAACTTCAGTGAGAGCAACCCCTCTCAGCTCTACACTGGGCAGACAGATGGCTGCTGGAGACAACAGGGCTCTCCTTACCCTCACCCTTTATGAAGATAAGCTGCCTGAGGCTGTAATCCTCTTTGAGGAAAGTGGATAACATTCTCGTCCCAACCCTCTATACCTGCGGGACACAGTCTGCCTGTAGAAGTGTAGCAACAAGAGAAGAATGCTCAACTTTGCATGCGCTAAAGATGTGCATTGTTGTGGGAAGTTGAAATGAAAAGATGATAGTGTATGGCACTACAGAACATGCAGATGTCATTTTTTCAGCCAACTACATATGGGTGGTCAATGAGATACTATAAAGTGAATGTATGCGGGCCCGGATCCACAAGGGGGCCCCCTCAGTTGAAACTTGTGCACCCTCAGTTTTAGTTTTATGTACCTATATAAAAATAGCAAGAAAGTTCAAATGATGAGTGCCAGGTTGGTGCAAAATCTGCATCTCTGCTGTGCTGTGTCGGCACAATGGACAGAGTGTGTCGCAGTGTGTGTAGGAGGGCTATGGAAAGCCACTGGGGTGCTACAGACTCCTATGGGTTTCCATAAAAAGTGGGCAAAATGCTTCTCATCTGTGGTAGGCTAAGTGAATATTGTGATATGCCTCTGCCTGTAATATTTGATTTTGATTTATAAAAAGTTTACCATTGAAGCACACAACTCTGCCTCACGCCCCACCACTACAGAGTTTAGTTAGCGTCTTAGCTAGCTGTAAAAAGTGTTAGTGTTATAAGCATTAGCCTATTTAGCTAGCTCGAACCAGCTAATATGCTACTGCCACGATGGATATCAGAAATTGGCTTTGCCAAAGTACCCAAACAAAGCCAAAAGGAGAAGGAGAGTAATGAGCAACAGCAGCATCAAACCACCGAGCCCACCGCCAAGCCCAGCAGCGATGATGCTGCCGAGCTCCAGATAGCTCCGCATACAGAGCCTACCCACCCTTCCACAAGTGCCGCCAGGATAATGTCTCCACAGGCCCCTCCACCTCCTACTGTTCCTGATGATCTTGGAACAGAGGAGCCAGCCCAGGTTAGCCTAGAATCCTACCCTAGCCGCGGGTTTTTGTTAAAAGATGTTCATGTAATAGCAACTGGTTCATTGGAAGAGAGTGGCTGCAGAATTCAATTTAATTCCAATGCAAGAACCCAAATGACACCCCTGGGTGTAGCTACATATCGGTATGTTTCATCATAGAAATAAATACATTCTATTATGATTTTCTTGGAAGCCTATTGGTTTTTGTGGTTGTAAATGGAACTGTACGTATTGGAAACGTGTTTATGGTAGGCTGGCATTGCTTAACTGATTAAGTGGGTGGAATTTAATCCACAGAAGTGTATTGTGTCATATCACGTGTTGCTGTACTCATGAGCAGCATGGTTTTCCATGTTTGAAGTGGGCCTATAGGCCTATTTGTTTGGCAAGACAGCTGTGCATGGCTACATCTCACTGCAATAGGCTGTAGGCTATGTTTTGGTTATTTGGATCTCCATTTGCTTTTTGTTTAGTGCGTTTATTTACTGTTAATGTAACTAGCCTAAATATAGATTGTTTCATATTGATCTGACATTTTGTTTACTAGGCCTACTTTGTACCGCTGTTTTGTTCCATTCGCATTAATTCGTTCACATTCACAGTAGTGTTGGTATTCTAAGCCAAACTGCTATTCAGTATAATTTTTTGTTTGCATGCATGAATAATAATAACTAGGCTACTACTTTCAGCATTTGCATTATTTTGGTAAAACAGCTGCGTGTACGGGTGCATTCACATAGGCTGTTTGTAATAGGTGAATTACCCTCTCTATCTTGTAGCTTATATTCATTACCAAAAATTTTTTTTTTACATAATTCCTGGAAGCTGAAAATGTCCCAGTTCTTTCATGGCCTGCATACTCACCAGACATGTCACCCATTGAGCATGTTTGGGATGCTCTGGTTCGACGTGTACGACAGCGTGTTCTAGTTCCTGCAAAATCCAGCAACTTTTCACAGCCATTGAATAGGAGTGGGACAACATTCCACAAGCCACAATCAACTGCCTGATCAACTCTATGCGAAGGAGAGGCATGAGGCATGAGGCAAATGGTGGTCACACCAGATACTGACTGGTTTTCTGATCCACGTGTCTACCATTTTTTAAGGTATCTATGACCAACAGATTCATATCTGTATTCCGAGTCATATGAAATCCATAGATTAGGGCCTAATGAATTCATTTTGATTGACTAATTTCCTTACATGAACTGTAACTGTAAGTAGTTAGGACCCCTTTAAGTATAAAACAAATATATATACAGTGCCTTCGGAAAGTATTCAGACCCCTTGACTTTTCCACATTTTGTTACGTTACAGCCTTATTCTAAAATGGATAAAAAATATTTAAAAAACATCTGCAATCTACACACAATACCCCATAATGACAAAGTGAAAACAGGTCTTTAGAAATGTTTGCACATTTATTAAAAATAAAAAAACAGAAATATCTTATTCAGACCCTTTGCTATGAGACTCTAAATTGAGCTCAGGTACATCCTGTTTCCACCTGGGTATGACGCTACAAGCTTGGCACACCTGTATTTGGGGAGTTTCTCCCATTATTCTCTGCAGATCCTCTCAAGCACTGTCAGGTTGGATGGGGAGCATTGCTGCACAGCTATTTTCAGGTCTCTCCAGAGATGTTCAATGGGTTTCAAGTTGGCTGGGCCACTCAAGGACATTCAGAGACTTGTCCCGAAGCCACTCCTGCGTTGTCTTGGCTGTGTGCTTAGGGTTGTTGTCCTGCTCAGTCTGAGGTCCTGAACGTTCTGGAGCAGGTTTTCATCAAGGATCTCTCTGTACTTTGCTCCGTGTTGTGGATGGATGGTTGGATGGATGGTGGTGTATTAAGCGCTTAAATCTGTACAATCTTGTTCATGTTCTCTGAGTGTGGACAGTTGTCAAGGTGTATGGAAATAGACAACAATAGTGCTCATGGCCGGGCCTGTATGTCGGACCAGACATGCGTCCCTCCTTTTTATTTATGTATTTACTACAGTCAGTGGCACATATAGCAACTGGTTGCTCCACTTCACATGCATGTTTCTAGAAAATCGCTCATGGCTTGCCAACAGCTTAGCTGTTTGGAGCAACTGGACCTTTGAAATACATTCCTCTTTCTATTTGATATTTTAACCACAAGGCACTGTATTTTAGGGACTGCAATAAGTAGCCCAATGAGATGGAGTTGCACTATATGATTTCTGAAAGCCCATAAAACTGGCATCCAGGTATCTGCATTTATCAAACATTAGAAGATCACAAGATTGAATGTATCTGTAAGCATTGTAGTGACATGATATGCCTGATTGATTGATGACAAATTTGTTTTTACGTTTTCAAGATCATGTTCCCATGTTCCCATATTTATGAATGTACAGTACATGTTGAGTGATATTTAGTCTCCATCACAAAACAATCCACTGTCATCTATAGTGATAATTTTCCTACAGTATACAGTATGTGCACATACAGCATCCTATGTTAGAAAAACGTAATGTGACTCCCAGCCAGGTCAGCTCATGTTCATGTATGTACAGTCTGGGCGGACAAATGGTCACACAAGTCATCTGATCATGCAGAGAGTATGTGGAGCCTACAGCCAAAAGATCGCTGCCAAAGGTGCTTCAACAAAGTACTGAGTATAGGGTCTGAACACTTATGTAAATGTGATATTTCAGTGTTTTATTTTTAATCAATTAGCAAACATTTCTAAAAACGTGTTTTTGTTTTGTCATTATGGGGTCTTGTGTGTAGATTGATGAGGGGAAAAAACAATTTAATCAATTTTAGAATAAGGCTGTAACCTAACAAAATGTGGAAAAAGTCAAGGGATCTGAATACTTTCCGAAGGCACTGTACAAAAATTATTTGCTGAAACATTGAATTTGGCTTTACTGCTATTAGCCAATAGAAGGGAAAGGGAAGTGAAAGGGGATACCTAGTCAGTTGTACAACTGAATGCATTCAACTGAAATGTGTCTTCTGCCTTTAACCCAACCGCATAACACATTCATACAAGGAAAAACAGATAGTCCCCACTCCCCCCCAAAAAAATATAAAGGAAGTTTGTTTTGAAGTGTCTGTCCTATATCTGAGAGATATAAGAAAAATCAGGAAAGTATTTCTTTTTTTTATAACACTTTTATAGGCACTAAACTACTTCCATATATACTTCCATTCATTTTTAAACTGGTGCTGGGCTATCTTCTGGTGAGTCTTGTGGGCATCCTAGAGCAAAACAACCAACATGTATGTGTTCATGAAAGACTCACCTTTCCATAGAGTGGTCATAGACACAGCCCATGCAAAAAAACTGATATGTCTAGTTTAAACAGACATATTTTTATGGGGATTATTTTATTATGCTAATTAGATTTCTGAAATTGACTCAAGAGGGTTTTCAGGTTATATTGAGACTCAACTCAACTTCTTTCTATGAATTTAGGTTAGCAGCAGATTATCTCTCTCACCACTGCCTTGAAAAATGGAAGGGGTTGAAACTAAGGTGAAGAGTGTGGAGACAGTGAGTGAGTGAGAGGAGAGAGAAAGAGAGAAAGATGGGAGAGAGGGGCGTGAGACAGGGGAGTGAGCGTGTGAGAGGGAGAGAGAGAGAAGGAGAGATGGCAGTACTCTATCTCCATAAGAGAGAAAGAAAGAAAGAAAGAAAGAAAGAAAGAAAGAAAGAAAGAAAGAAAGAAAGAAAGAAAGAAAGAAAGAAAGAAAGAAAGAAAGAAAGAAAGAAAGAAAGAAAGAAAGAAAGAGTGAGAGAAAGGCAGGCAGAGAGAAGAAAGACGGTAAGCGTTGGTGCCTAATATGCAGCCATCCTACATTGAAGGTCTGAGAGACAGAAAATAATCATCTGACGTTTGTGATACCTTAATCTGGTTGGAACATCTTTACTAATTAGCTGATCTGTCCCTCCAACTGGAGCCAGGTGTGAACCAACAATGTCCTGATTCTTCAGAATGCATGTTCGCCATTGTCCCCACTACAACAATACATGTAGGACTCCTTTCCAGCTAATATTCAGACTTGTGTGACTGACAAACACATTCTACCTGGACCTACAGTCCTCTGAAACTATGTCAAAAAAGCCCAAATAAATTACGTTTAGGGGTGAATCCTAAACTTCCACTTAGGTCGAATTTTCACTTAGTAATGCATTAATGTCAATGGGAAGTTAGGATTCACCCCTTAGTGATTCGCAAATGCAAGGAGTTAGCACAGGCGGTGATGATTCATCCATCCTTTGCACTGAGTCATGACGTTATACCATGCTGTACCAGCAGAGGGGGTTCTGAATGACTCATTGGATTGGTGCCGCTGGACTAAATGTACAGAAAGCAGGCGGTCCCTTCTCCATCACTCCATCTCCCTGCAGTAACTTGATTTTAATGCACTGACATTGTGTGTGATATAGTGCACTACTTGGTCAACAGTGGTGCACTATATAGGGAATAGGGTTCCATTTGGGACTTCCCAGACCCATTGAATATGAATAAGGATATCTGACCTTTGAAAAATGTTTGGCAAGACTTCCAGTTGTGTTGCAAGGATAGCATCTGATTTTCTCAGAGGAAACAGGCAGCCCAATCAAGTTGTGACACTAGTATATGACAAATAGTTGTATTAAGCTTATCTTGCCAGGAGAGGTCACTCTTTGCATTGGTAACAGTGATTGGTTAGTTCAGTGACAGGTGTCAGGTGTCAGGTGTTAGGTAGAGGTAGGTTTAGGGTTGAGCTGGGGTGTGGACATGAAGTTAAGGTTAGGTTTAGCGTTATGGGTTAGGGTAAGGGTTAGGTTTAGAATCACTAAGGAGACCTATTGGACTCAATTTCCCACATAGCCATTGATTGCCTAGTGGGAATGAAACAGGAAATCTGATTCGCTCTCATCCCACATATGCAGGACCTCTGGATTCCCATGTAAGGACTGTTACATCAGTAGCTAGACACCCACCTTTCTGAGTGATGACGCAGCCAGGGGAAACTGTGAGGAACGAGAAAGGGTGTCCCGTCGGCACGAGCACAGACTATACGGAACAGCTGTAGCCTAGGTTCGCATAGAATTTCACAGCATTGCGAGTAGTACACATATCATTTTATCCCAAAACCTATAGAATAACGTTCACACTTACCAAATATTAAAATGGTTGATCGCGAGCAGCTGGTGCAGAAAGCCAGGCTGGCTGAACAGGCTGAAAGATATGATGATATGGCAGCTGCCATGAAATCGGTAAGTCTCTCCTCCAAAACCATTGCATGTGAATTGGCTATGAATAAGGTCTATGATATGGTGTTCAATGAAACATTGATTTATCTACAATGTAATTCTAATAAATATGAATGATCTCTATTTAGATATTGGATTGCATTCCTAGAGATTTTTCATGGATGTGATGTGTATAGAACTTAAACAATTTGATATTAGATTCAGTAAAGGTTTTGCCAGCAATCCTAGACATCACTACACTGCATTGCAATAGCCTACACCAAAACTAGCCTACACCATTCAGAATATCAAGTCTGTTTCATAGGGCTCAATCACTGTTTAATTATAACGAATAGAATAGCCTGCATGTGGAGCTCAAACATTCAAGAAAGGCAATCAATGTATGCTATCGAATGCTCCTTGGGCGGTGCCTTTCTCGTGCCTTTAAAATAAATGTAGTGGAGTAATATTACCACGAAATGTATTCAGAGGCACCAAAGAACATTGATTTCTCTGTCAAACGTGTCCCTCACATTACAACATTTGAAAAATGTTTTATGCCACTGGGCACAGACGTCGATTCAACGTCTATTCCACGTTGGTTTTAACGTAATTTCATTGAAATGACGTAGACACAACTTTGATTCAACCAGTGTATGCCCAGTGGGACTTAATTCCCCATGTGATCTATTAAATTCAGATCATTTAGAATTTGGTCTTTAGGATTGTGCCATGTGAGGTTGCTCGAATATTGATAGATTTTTCCTGTAATATCTAGATTGAATTAAATAATAGCCTAGTAATAATAGTAATATTTGTTAAATTATATTTGTGAGTTAAATGTGTCCTCTTGATAATATATATATATATATATGTATGTGTATATATATATATATATATATATATATATATATATATATATATATATGTGTGTGTGTGTATGTGTTCATATAGGCTACAGATGTTCTCTGGATAAGGATCTATTCCTGCATAAATGGTTGTTCAGTTTCCAGTTCTTTACATAAAACAAATGTAGGAGACAGCATAATTTTGTCGTATTGCAGTGAGTCAATGATCAGATTGGATATTGATCCTTTAGTGTTCAGTCGTTGAGCTACATTAAGTTACTTGATCACATTATCATTCTGCATTGCACCTGTATGTCGCATTGTGTGTCACTGTCAACGTGTGCAGTAGCCTCTAGACATACTATATGTTTGGATATGGATGAGCTGTGTGTTCTTTAAAGTAATTGAATGACATTTAGATTATTGTTTGGTTTATTGATACAGGTCTCACACTGTGTGAAAAATGCGTTGTCATTAGGCCCTAAACCTATATGCCCAGTCTCCTCCAATCATTATGTAGCCTAGCCTAGTGCTTTAGAATTAAAACTATACTCAACAACTGTTTTTTCACCCTGTAATGAAAGAAAATCTTAAGCATTATTATTACTACCTAATAATACTTTCTGTCTCAGATTTCTGGTTGCAAGCAACATAATTGTAGTGATATGTGCATGTGGGATTCCTTTCCCTTTAAGCAATCTGCTGTGTCAGTGCATGCAGTCAGAACTGGGCCTTTTGCAGTGTAGGGGTGTGTACTCATTCCCCTCTCCTATGGGAAATTCCTTGCCACTGCAGCCAGGGTTCACTTGATGGCAGGAAAAAGCAATGAGAAGTATACTTTTATGTTGAGATCTCACCTTGACCAGTACAGTACAATATTACCCTGCATGCATTGGTTCCTTAATGCATCAATGCAGTAAGATGCAACTATAGGCAGTGCTGCTTTGTCAGTGAATGCATTGAATGTCATTGAAGGCATTTTTATTTTTTAAATATGTAATGCATTTACAGTAGCATAATGTGTTCAGGATAGTCGTGACAGATTTTTACCCAGCCCATCAATAATTGTTCGGCCTGGCAATTAGGTATTCAGATCAGTATGGTAGGCTGCCTCTCTATATTTATATTTACTGACATCAGCATTTTGGTACAATGATGATTCACTGACAAGAATTGCATATGATGGGCTTTTCCAACATCACTTGTGTTCTTTTGCACTCTCTGTTCATTATGTTTCTTACGGATCCATCACAATCAGATGGACTAACAATTAGATAGTAATTGAACATTTGCTTAGTAATGCCATGGCATTTGAGCTGTGAATTGTATGTTCTTGCATTTCAAGCTGGGAAGGAAAAAGGCCTGTTTAGAAATATTCTGTCATCCATGCACACGATGGCTGTGATGTCACCTTTCAGCCGCATCCTTTGTGCTCCTCTATCAGGCTGGGAGGGGAATGTCACATCAGCTCACCAGAAAGGAGCAACGTTAGCTTCTCAATGAGAGAGAGCACTTTGCTAGAATGGGCCACTCATTAAGCTGTATTTTCTCTGTAGCTGTATTTAAACTGTAGCATTTTGCTGTCTGCATCTTCCCTCTCTATAGTTCTAATCTAGATAATCTAATTGTTTTGCAGATATTGATTTAGGTGGGGATAAAAACGTGTGTTTTATCGATGTAAGGTAATCTGGAAGTGGACTGGAAGTGATATTGATCGTCTCAGGTCTTTTCAGTTGCTCTTAATGTGATATTCAACACAGATAGGGGGGTCGTTCCACAAAATACGTGTCTTTTGCATCCCTTTGGTATTTAAAGTAGAAATGTTGCACCAATATTGCATTTTAAAAGCCTGTTTAAATGAAGTACCCTTTAATATAGACCACATGGATAATTCAATAAATCAGATTTCTAATATGAATAAAGATTCAGCATTTTGACATGTCACTCTGTGCACCCTCTGTGAATTCCAAAAAGACTTTAACCTACTTAACCCCAGAATTTCATCATCATTCTAAAGCCCTAGTTATTTAGTTGTTTTGAAAAAGTCATTTCTTAATACTATTATTTATTTCATGTGATTATTGATTCATTTTAAGGTAAAAAACAAACAAAAAAACTTGTCCCTCATTTTAAGGTCTACCCTGTTACGTGAACTGAAATCTCATTTTAATATGTTGAAACTATTCCTTTTAAAAAAAAAGTTTCAAAAGAAACAAATCAAATGTTATTTGTCACATGCTTCGTAGACAACATATGTAGACTAACAGTGAAATGCTTACTGACGGGTCCTTTTACAACAATGCAGAGTTAAAGAGAAGATACAAAATAAAATAAACATTGAACATCTAATAGTCAAATCATAGTGTAAAAGCAGGTGAGCTGGTTCTTTGGCAATTTTCTGTTTTTTTTGTGGTGGAAAACTGAGTGGGTCGAGCATATCACATCAACCCTGTTACCCATAGATAGACAGGCTAGAAATGTTTTAACAATTTCATTTAGTTTTTTGAAGCTTGCATTCAATTGTCCCTTCCTGTTGCACACAAACTTCCATTCCCCGTCACAAGGGAATTTATGGTAGATGTATGATGTCAACCGTGTTATTTTATATTTAACCTCTTGAGATTTGAAAACATGTTTTTTATTAAGTTTTTATTAAATCAAACCTTTTTTTCACCAAGTTACATATCTCAAAAGGCACCAAATTGTTGGAATGACCCAGGGAAGATACTGTATATGTGACATTTGTGTGTGGGTTAAACTGTTGAGAATATTTATTTTTACCTATTGTAATTTGCTACCCAATGTCTTTCAGTCAGAGACACTAAATACCTTGTAGGTTAGTAGAACGAGGTCAGGATTTACAACGTTAAAAGTTCAAAGGTTACTGTTGTGCTTTTTACAGTACACTATTTGACATTCCCGGGATTAACACGTTACCTCCTACCTTTTACGTATAGAGTCAAGTAGTAGGTGAAAAGCATGTCCAGGGTGACAGCATTACAAGGGGTTTTAGACAGGTGAAAAGGTCAGTTTAAAGCAGAGGAGAAGGTCAGGGAGACACAGGAACTGCCTGTGCGATGATCGACTGACCGTCTACACTTACACTGCAGCTGCCTCTGGATTCCTTGTGGGAACATAGCTACCTCCAACCCTCTGCCCCCTCTCCAGTCCCAACCCCCACTCTCTCTCAATATCTTCAATATGGTTCTCCACTTGCTAGCATTAGCTGTCCACATGGCAGCTGGAGCTACTGGTGCACTAAGTGAGCTGATTGCCATGGAAACTAATTGAATCTTGCTCATTCCCAATGCAGTGCCGTATGTGCATCCAGTTAGAATAATAACAGAACATACTGTACAGTAGATATGATAGGTATGATATTGTATAGGGCTGTGACATAGAGTACAATAAATGCTCTGGTATGATTTCATGTAAAACCATACCTTCTGTCCGTGATATTGTTTAAAAAAAAAAAACTGTTTACGTTCATGAATGCATAACATAGTTTTTTTTGGCTGTCTTACACAGGATAGTGCATTTATGACCACTGCTCTGTCCCCTCCCCAGGTAACAGAGCTCAATGAGGCCCTATCTAACGAGGAGAGGAACCTCCTGTCTGTGGCCTATAAGAATGTGGTGGGGGCCCGCCGTTCCTCTTGGAGGGTGATCTCTAGCATCGAGCAGAAGACCTCTGCAGATGGAAATGAGAAAAAGATTGAAATGGTTCGGGCCTACAGAGAGAAGATTGAGAAGGAGCTGGAGGCTGTGTGTCAGGACGTGCTCAACCTGCTGGATAACTACCTGATCAAGAACTGCAATGAAACGCAGCACGAGAGCAAGGTGTTTTACCTGAAGATGAAGGGCGACTACTACCGCTACCTGGCCGAGGTGGCCACGGGCGAGAAGAGGGCCACCGTCATCGAGTCATCAGAGAAGGCTTACAACGAGGCCCATGAGATCAGCAAAGAGCACATGCAGCCCACCCACCCCATCCGCCTTGGCTTGGCTCTTAACTACTCTGTGTTTTACTATGAGATCCAGAATGCCCCTGAGCAGGCCTGTCATCTGGCCAAGACCGCCTTCGATGACGCTATTGCTGAGCTGGACACCCTGAATGAGGACTCCTACAAAGACTCAACTCTCATCATGCAGCTGCTCCGAGACAACTTAACACTGTGGACAAGTGACCAGCAGGATGACGAGGGAGGGGAGGGCAACAAAGATTAATAAACCACACTTAGAAAAAAATTATTATGAAGGGGCGGTGGGCTTTGGCAGCCGCTTTTGCCGATGATCGTACCGCAGCAGCAGTTCTTTATTTTTCCATGTGTTAAAAGAAAATAATCAAAAGAAAGGTGAGAGGGGAGGTTACATCTTAGGTTAATATATATATAAATATATATAAATGGTTGAAAGGGCCTCCGTCTTCTTGATTTTCTCTTTGACATTTGCCAAAACCACTGAAATGTCAGTCAATCAGCCTGAAGTGGTTGTTGTTGGATTGGTTTGGCAGTCTCACACTGGCATAGGGACTATTGTCGTACCAAGGGAAGCTGCTTAGTTAGGTTTATGCATGATAGAAAGTCAGACACTTGAGGAAGGGGGGGAAAAAAACACTTGAGTGAGAGTGCCTCACAAAAATAGTTTGCAATGGTCCCAGTACTAGCCACTTTTCAACCTCATATTCATTATCTACAGCACCAAACCAGTGTCTACATATGTGAAAACAGCTAGTTTCTATGATCTGTGGTTAAAAAGATAAGAAGAAAGGTCCTAAAAAATGCTTCTCTGTGACATCACAGGGTAGGATTAAAAGTAAGAAAAACAGTGATTTTCAAAACCTGCAATGAGTTTCTAGTCAGAGGGAGGGTATTTTCTTGCTCCCCACGTCACTGCAAATATCATAGTGTTTGAAAATCACTGTTTTTAAAATGTTTTAACTTTTGATGATGTAATCGGGTAGAACATTTTAATGCTATATTTTTTTCTACTAAACGTAGAAATGCACTGTTTTCACATATGTAGACATTGGTTTGGTGCTGGAGATAATGAATATGAGGTTTCAAAAGTTGCAGAGTTGCCCTTTAAGATATAATATCACTCACTCTAGAAGGGAGTGCAGGAAAGCCAAGAAAACGCAAATACTATTAATCTGACCAAATCAACTAGAAAAAGTAAAATGCACATGTTTTGTTAAAATGTTGGATGTTTATTGTAAAGTTAATGCTAATCATGGCAATGAGGTAAGGATAAAATACTGTTATCAATTTCCTCTTTCACGACTTCTAGTTTTAGGGATAATCGGCATTAAATCCAATTTGACTGTCCTCTGACTGCTCTAAATATGATGGAAACATAGCTTAACCTCCAATAGAGTCTATCTAAAGGCAGAGACTTTGTTTAAAACAAAGAAATTATCTTAAAGCAGCTTCAGAGTTTGTGGTTTACTTCTGTGTTTGTTTTATTAAATGCACTTGCCTACTATACTGTTTCTTCAGTGTAAGATGATTACTACAATAATATCGATTATTCAGTATTGTGCATGCTGGTGATGTATTTAAACATACAGTAGCTTGGCTTTATTATCTTATACTGTGGGTGTTAAGTATTGATATGATTGAGAAAACATAGGCTTTTTCTGATTTATTTCTTATTTATAACTTATTCTTATTTTGTTTTTATTTGCTATACCAAAATGGTGATCGTAAAAAATGGACATGCTATGAGCATTGCTATAGTGGCATGCAATATGTGTATATCATTTGTTTAATAGAAGAAAAAAAAGTGGGGAAAAACACACCAGTGTTTGCTTAATCTTACCAGCTGGTGTTTGTCATGTTAAATTATAATAATGGCTTTGTCACATTAAATTATAATAATGGCATTGTAAAACAAATACTTTGTTCTTTGAACTATATTTGAGTACTGATTTTGTCATGTTATTAACCAGTTTGAACAATGGTGAAGTTTTCAGAATCAGTGTTTCTGTTATCAATTCACAACATGGACCACAATTTATTTCTGACAGTATACATTTTTTGTTTGTTTTTATACCTTTTAGCTGTTCCTGAGTGACAAATATCTTGAATGTGAGTCATTATGTAGCAGTTGCACAAGAAACGAGATAACTATGCTAATAAAAAAATTATATGACAAAATTATAAATGCACCATTTCCATGGCAGTCTAGTGTATTGTTGTGATGTCACTAATAAGTCAACGTTTGTTTTTTATTGTAACCTCTTGCTGTGTGCTGCTAGGATGCTATTATTGTGTGTGCCTCCTTTGCCACTTGAAATAGTTGATTCAACATCCTCCATAGGCATCCTCCATAACCATGTATGCAAAAAGAGAATCATAACGACAGTAAAAACCCACTTGTGCTTTTAGATCTACACAAACTTGCATGACACCAGTACAGTGAGTACACGTCTGCTCATGCAATATAATGCAAACGCTAGTCAAATAATAGCTGGCTATTAGTACTTCAGGTTGAAGCAAACAGGGAGAGTCATTTGTCAAACACTGTTAACGTTATTTACCACCGAGGGCTGAATGTCCCAACTGAATGATTCCCACGAGGACAAAAGAACGGATCTAAATGATCTAGGACTTTAACAGTGTCCCAAATGCCACCCTCTTCCCTATATAGTGCACTACTTTTGACCAGAGCCCTATGGGCCTTGGTCAAAAGTAGTGCACTATAGGGAAGAGGGTGGCATTTGGGACGCCACATATAGTCTTTAACCCACTCTGTACATCTCGCATCCTCTGAGCTCGCATCCTCTGAGCTAAACATGTATCCAAATAGATATTGCTGAGGATGTTGTTCTCCATCTTGCTGCTATGCTCTCTAGATTTTATTAGATTTATAATCTCTATCATAATGGGCTAAAACTCAGCTAATTGTATTTTTAGGTCTCAGATATGATCTCTTGCCCTGGGAAACCCAAACAACTTGAGGTGTGTCAGGGTGTTACTTTATGCCATTCATCTGGTGCCATCACCAGAGAGACACTGTTATACCTTCCATTTTTGCCATGCTAATCTAAGAACAGTTAACACATGTAATTTAGTAAGTACAGTTAACACATGTAATTAAACCTGGTACTTACATAGTCCCTTCTGGGACACAAGGCCACTTTTGAACACTGTATGTTACTTTTTCCTCTGTATTTCAACGTAGATAGCGAGAGTTAACAATTCAGATGACTTTTAATCGGAAAGAAACTTTAAACTCTTTTATCATTTGTTTTGTTTAGATTTTTTGACACATCAGAAAGGATGGTTCATTCATTAAGAACAGTTCATTAATTGTTTTGATATACAGTAATGTTTGATTTTATTTAGTTTTTTTGGCTATGTTTTGTTTGTGTTTATTTATTTAATTTTACATTTGTTTGACACAGATCCTTGTGTCTGTGAGCTCAGGTAGAACACTACTGTAACATGTATGCTCTCTTTGCTCTGAAATGGAATTCAACTTCAATTGAATCAAGTAAAGGGTTGGCACTATGGCTATACAACAGAAAAAATGTAGACTGAAGTCACGTAATCTTGTCAACAAATCGATTACCATTAAAATGGAGGATAAAATAGGTTTAATGAATCATATACACTACCGGTCAAAAGTTTTAGAACACCTACTCATTCAAGGGTTTTTCTTTATTTGTACTATTTTCTACATTGTAGAATAATAGTGAAGACATCAAAACTATGAAATAATACATATGGAATCATGTAGTAACCAAAAAAGTGTTAAACAAATCAAAATATATTTTAGATTTTAGATTCTTCAAAGTAGCCACCCTTTGCCTTGATGACAGCTTTTGGCATTCTCTCAACCAGCTTCACATGGAATGCTTTTCCAACAGTCTTGAATGAGTTCCCACATATGCTGAGCACTTGTTGGCTGCTTTTCCTTCACTCTGCGGTCCGACTCATCCCAAACCATCTCAATTTGGTTGAGGTCGGGGGATTGTGGAGGCCAGGTCATCTGATGCAGCACTCCATCACTCTCCTTCTTGGTCAAATAGCCCTTACACAACCTGGAGGTGTGTTGGGTCATTGTCCTGTTGAAAAACAAATGAGAGTCTCACTAAGCCCAAACCAGATGGGATGGTGTATCGCTGCAGAATGGTAGCCATGCTGGTTAGGTGTGCCTTGAATTCTAAATACATCACAGACAGTGTCACCAGCAAAGCACCCCCACACCATAACACTTCCTCCTCCATGCTTTACAGTGGGATATACACATGCAGAGATCATCCGTTCATCCACACCGCGTCTCACAAAGACACGGCGGTTGGAACCAAAAATCTCAAATTTGGACTCCAGACCAAAGGACACATTTCCACCGGTCTAATGCCCATTGCTTGTGTTTCTTGGCCCAAGCAAGTCTCTTCTTATTATTGGTGGCCTTTAGTAGTGGTTTCGTTGCAGCAATTCGACCATGAAGGCCTGATTCACACAGTCTCCTCTGAACTGTTGATGTTGAGATGTGTCTGTTACTTGAACTCTGTGAAGCATTTATTTGGGCTGCAATTTCTGAGGCTGGTAACTCTAATGAACTTATCCTTTGCAGCAGAGGTAACTCTGGGTCTTCCATTCCTGTGGCGGTGTCAGGGCGTGTGTAGGTGTAGTGTAGGAAATCAGATGCAGGATGCAGACGGTAGGTTCCAAATGCTGTATTCCGGCCCAAACACAGGCAACAGGGCAACTAAGCCCAACAGCTAAACTACGCACAAGGCGTATAGGCAAAAGGCGCACAAACAGGTGCGACAAAATGAAGTAGTGCACGAAACAAGTGCAATCGAGCTCCAGCGCAGTGGAGAGAATATGCTCAACCGAGCAAACACAACACTGACGAAAAACAATCATACACAACACATGACAAACACAACGAGAAACTTATAGGACACTAATCACGTAAAACAGAAACAGGTGTGACACAAACAGACAAAAGCAAACGAACATGAAACATCTATCGGTGGCAGCTAGAATTCCGGAGACGACGAGCGCCGAAGCCTGCCCGAACAAGGAGGAGAGGCAGCCTCGGCCGAAACCGTGACAGTACCCCCCCCTTGACGCGCGGCTCCAGACGCGCGCCGACTCCGGCCTCGGGGACGGCCAGGGGGACGCGGCGCAGGGCGCGTCGGATGCCTCCGATGGAACTCCGTCAGAAGCGATGGGTCCAACACGTCTCTCCTCGGCACCCAGCACCGCTCC